CGGTGGTTCCTCAGTGTTGCTTTCTGGCTGTCTTCCTCAGTATCCCCTTCTCCGTCGATCTGTTTCGCTGTCACACACACACACACGTGCGTGCGTGTGTGTGGGTAGTATATATATATATATATATATATATATATATATATATATATATATATATATATATATAAACAAACATATAAACATATATAATATATACATACATACATACATACATACACACATACATAAATATATAAATACATACATGCATACATACCTACCTGCATTCAAACACACACACACACACACACACACACACACACACACACACACACACACACACACACACACACACATATATATACATATATATACATATATATATATATATATACACACACACACACTCACACACACGAGTGTGTGTGCGTGTGTACGCGCGCGCGCGCGCGTGTGTGTGTGTGCGTGTGTGTTTGTGTGTGTGTGTTTTATCTGTAATCTTTATATCTCAGTGTATATATCTTTGCTTCAGCACCGCCGCAGCCACAGGTGCAGCCTTGGCCATCCACTGGCACAGCGACAGTTGTCACAACACAATTACCGACGCCTCTTAACATGCGAGACGAACAACATAAAAAGTTGCCCATGATTCCTGGCGTCCGTTCCTCGCTGCTGTCTGTCACTGAGTCATCTCGCGAAGTCGCCTTCAACCGCAGCGCTTTCCTCTTCACCGCCTCATACTTTCTTCACTTACAACTTCATCGAATTGACTGCCTCATACTTGCCATCCTGCGCGCGTGCGGCCAGCCCGTCCGGCCACAAGGACCGCCTTCGTTCGCACGTAGTTCACAAGAAGCGATCGGACCCCCGCCTCCCTCCGTCGTAAACACCGCGGCGTCGTCACTTTCCTCGCCGCTGACTTACCGATGGTTTGAGGTCTTCCTTGTGGACACTCCAGCATAACGGGTGCAGGTCGAGCGTGGACTGCATGGACAAAGCCCGAGGAGGTTCTTTGCATGCGCGCGAACTCGGACATCGTTGGGCTTCCCCGGTGACATCCAGTCAACACTGTCGAGCTTCAGTGTTTTATTTTGGGCAAAATGAATTCAATGTTGCGAAGGCCATCATGTCGGGATTGTGGAAGAGAAGAACAATATCTATAAAAAACATGATATGGATACTTGATGCGCTGGCTACCTTGCTCCCAGCGCCATCAGTACCCAGAAGGGCGCGCGATGTTTATATTAATGCATGCAAGCCTCCGCGACGTGATTTGGAAGATCTCGCGAGCGCGGCCGAGCAACTCTGCGACCCCGGCCCGCTTGGTTGCCATGGCGACCAGCAAGAGCCTCTTAGGGCGATCGGAAAATAACTCGCTTCTCTGTCCTTACCCGGCTAGTTGTCGAACCACCCACACCCTACCTGGCCTACAAGGCTGGACAGCGAGGCAAACGTAAATCCAGTAAGCCTAAACATAACCTTTGCAATCTTACAGCAAGGACACACCGCGCAGCATGTCCTAGAAACCTCTCTCCATCATCATGCCACAGCTAACTCTGAAAACCACATTCCACATATCAATCTCCTAGCGACTGAACAGCCGGACCAAATGTTGTTTTGCAATTCGAGCAGCACATCGGCTTTATTCCCAAACAGCGCCAGACCACAGCATTGTCCTGCCATTTGAAATATCACTTTAAAGCCATGTTGCAGCATCAGCCAGACTACCAACCTTCACCAGAACTCCAGAGTGCACCAATCTACAACGCTCGCCGTCCCCGGGCTCAGACACTACGCTGCCTCGAGATGCAATAACACGACAAAAGGCTGTCTACCGGGATACCTTTTACGGCAATTACGATCGGCCCGATGGAGATCTCCCAGCTCGTAGTTTGGGGTTGAGCGAGCAATATGAGCGCGAGTCCTGTGAGGAGCCTTGTAGGAAGCCCATAAGGAGGCGAGTTGTAGGACCTTGTATTGGCCATATTCGTTCGAGGCGAGATGTATAGAGAAGGAGAGGTGAAGGATCTGTGTGTCAGTGCAACGGACAGCCATTCGGTCGAGTATTGCTTCGATTCATTTCTGCGCAATTCATTCTCGCGACCTGCCTTCCGTGTATACCGTTCTGACACTATATTTACGAAATTTTGTTCTATCATTGTGTGTTGCCGCCGCCCAGCCAGCATTCAGCCCCGAGCGAAATACCGTCGCGTTCATGCTATTACAACATATTTCGTTCGTTGTTTTTACTCGCCTTCAGCTCGAGCGTAACGCATTCCGCTTCCGAGAAGGACTGCAGCATATTATCATTTTCTGTCGTGTGTGTACATACAATGCTCGACGTCCGGAGGGATTTCTAATGCAGAGTCATTCGAGGTATGCTGGTAAATGTTCATGCGTATCATCGTATGCGGCGCCGTTGCATATTGAACTCTATTTATATGTTGCGAAGCCCCCTTAAAAAAAAAAAAAAAAAAAAAAAAAAAAAAAAAAAAAGAGAGAAGCAATTCAGATAAGGAATCAGTTATTATACAAGGTTCATTTATTATTGCCCAACAGTGACAACCTTGATGGCCGCGAGT